GATATAATTACAATAAAGCCTATATAGCAGCCATGAATTTATAAGTAGCATGTCAAATATATGAAATCAAATTCTATGGTACCATTTTCTTGATTTCGTATGAATTCTATATAAGGAAAGTGAAGAATCCATGAGATCAACACCTCCCATTGATTTATTATCAATTTTAACAATATTTAAACATTTTATCCTTTTTTTCTATCATATCTTTTACAGTCTATTAGAGGATGTGTACCTACAAAAGTGCTTAATAAAGTCACAGCACGATTGTCGTGTCACTTCACTGAATTTAGCTCCACTCCGTTTATTATTGTTTTTTTGAAACAAAAAATCCTCGACCTTTTTGTAACTCCTTATCTGTTGGGTAGTTGATTACTTCTGACCTTGGCCGCGCAAAATATTCATCTTTGAGCTAGTACGACCTGAAAATTTGGGTAACAAAATCAGTTATCAAAAACTAATTTATAATTAATTTGCTGCGGTATATAAGTAATTAAACGGAGCACAGCATTGCCATTTGCTCCAACATCAGGCAACCTTCCACTGGTAGTAATTTCCCAGAATATATTTCAAAATTGCGGAGAAGGCCAACATCTCCGCATAGTAAAAAGAATTTTAGCCCCATTTTTGGGCTTTTGAGGGTTATATTGCTTTAACCTGCTCATCCCTTTGTTAGAAATAATTTGCTCATCCACGCAAATATTCTCTTCTATAGATAAAGATTTAAGTACACAGGGTAAATAGCGGTCTATTTTATGAGGGTCATGGCCTTCAATTCCAAATGGAATCAATTTATCATTAATATGAATGAATGATTTGATTTGTTCACAGCGATTGAGTCATAACGTCTGCCACCTTGGCTTGTCTTGTATTAGTAGCCCAGTAAAGACGTGCTCTTGATAATTAACATATAAAATATGATTCCTATAAATTTCTCTAATTCATCTCTAAACAAATTCAAAGGTTTATCGAAGTTACATTGAGAGACATATAGATTTGACTCATAAACAATAAGAAGTAATATTTCTTTGAGATATATATTATAATAATCTATTGGTTTTTTAGCTTTATCAACCTTTGGAATTTCTCATTTCCACTTTGGAATAATTAACGGTAAATTTTTTAAACAATTTTTCCAAACCATTTTTCTCCTAACAATTTGTTTTTCTTTATTGATATTCTCTTCTTCTTCCTCTGATTCATCTCTCTCATTGAAATCTAGATATTTATAAGATTATATAAGAGCATAAATTTTAAATTTACCTAAATCATTATTTTGTGCTGATAAAAACTCCTCATCAGACGTTTCACTTAAATTTGAATCTTCACTATCGTTTGGTATGTTAGCATAATTCTATAAATACAAGACTCAAATAAAATACTTTAATTGCATAATGGGGCATTAAAACCACATATGATTATTAGTATTACAAAATATAATTATCAAAAAGAATAAATATATATAAAATAATTTCATAAAACTTTATTTTTTCTTTTCATTTATCTAATTTTAATGTTTTGAAATTTATATATTATCTTATTTATCTTTTTCCGATGTGTAGAAAATTGAGAACAATTTCATAATCTTTAATTGAATTCTCAATGCTTTTTGGGGAAAAGATAAAATCAGATTTTCATCCACATTGATATTTTATTCTTCTATGCAAATAAAATCCAACATGTTTTCGATATATTTCTTACCTAATTAATTTTTTCCGATGATAACATCTTCAGTTATTGTTATTTTGGTATTAAAAATATTGAAATTTCAGGGAGAATATTTTTTTAATGTTTACTTAAATAATTTAAATAACAAATGTAAATTTTTTAACCCGCCCGCCCGCCCATTAAATATTTTTCTTAAACCACCCACCCGTTCTTTAAAATTTTAATCCGGTCACCCGCCTCCCCACTTAGATGGGCGGGCTATAAACTCGTTCAATGTAGACTTCTCATCTACAATACCCTTGGGTTTTTTAAAAATTAATAAATATATTTTATAATGTATGGCAGAGACTTTTGGGAACAATCTCGAACCTGGGCCAAATAAATTATTTTAAAAATTCATGCCCAGCTAATTTAAAAAAAAATTATTAAAATTTTTATACCAAAGAATATCTCTCAAATTATACAAATCCAATTTTATCTCCATCCTCGGTTCTATGACAGGCAATATTTAAAATATACCTTTTTAATCCCCCCCTCCCACACTGTTTCGTATAAATAAAAATTTAATCAGTTTAAAAATCATAAATGATAAATATTCATTTAATTCTTATATTTTCAATTTTGGCAAAAATTTATATAACAAAATTTTAAGAATTCCAGGTCAGGCCAAATTTTTTTTTAAAAAAATGCCGAGTCGTGCTTGGAAATTTATAAAAATCTTGAACAGTACTAGGCTAGAAAATAAAAAATCTCAAAATGTGGGCTGGACCTAAAATTTTGACCTACCAGGTCTCAGATGTATAGAAATAAAAAAAAGATTTTTAATTTATGAATTTTCCGTATAGATATGGTTATTTTATATTATTAAACACATATTTATATCAATTAGTAAAAAATATCTTTTATAAATATATTTAAATTAGGAACCCTGAACAAATTTCTGCATTCCTATTCCGTTCTGGCAAAACATTATGTTCCGTCACCTTTCACGTTTTGGAAGGTGTTTAAAAAAAATTTAATTTTATTAATATAGGTTTTTTAAATAAAATGGGAGGTATAGATTAATATCTATTAAACCTTATATCTATCTTCATCTTCGGTATCATGTTAGACGAACAACATAATATCTTCCTTCATCATTCCCAAAGATAACTATAATTTAGACTTGACTGCTTGGTTTAATAATTCTTAAAACTCCAATCGAATCCCTCTGTAGAATATATTCAACGGATACAAAATACTGAATATACTAGTGGTTATGAATAATTAATTATAAATAGTAAATTCTTATCAGATTAATAATTAAGAATTTTCATAGGCCACCGAATTATATGACTTCGTTCAACAACATATATGCGTAAAATTTAAAAGGTCGATTCCAGGAGCCTAATAATTTATCATCAGACAAGTACCTTGGTATTTAGATAAATCCTTAATTTGGGTCTTCAAATGTCTCTTACTTTCCAAAAAATGTTAAATAGAATCCTGCTGATATTGTGGAGACAAAGAATACTCTAAATTTTACTAATTATTTTTTTTATATCCGTTATCTTTATCTCTGAAAAGTTTTTTAAAAATATAGGAAGCAAAATTATAGATATTATATAAAATCAGAACCCAAGAAATTCATTTTTCAAAAATAAAAATTATTATTTTTTACTGTAATCCTCTAAAGCAGACTTTCATGGGCCTTAATTTTTTGACCAAGCCCAACCCAAGTAGGCCCAAGCCCGGCCCATATCTAATGTTAAGATAAATTCCCAAGCCCATGATAAGTTTCAAAAAAAATTTTCAAACCCGGCCATTAAATATATTTAGGCAATCATTTTGTTTACAATACTAAAATTTATTATTATTAGAAGGAAAAAAGGCAATATTTCTTTAAATTAGCAACTCTTTTAAATAATCTAAATATAAATTTAATAATTTTAGGCCCAGGCCCAGCCCATTAAAAAAAACTTTAAAAATCCAGGCCCGGCTTAGGCCCGCTAGAAAATGTAATATTAAATGGGCCGGGTATGGGCCGGCCCATAAAGGACTCTGCTCTAAAGTCCTAAGTCAAATAATTAGAACAATTTAAAAATTTGAAACTTTTTATGTTAAATAATATATATGATTCAACACGACCCCGCCATAACTGTTCCATCGAAACTTTTAAAAAAAGGTCATTCGGCCCGGCTCGTAATAATTTTTATTAAGTAAAATGACAAAAATTAGCCTAATTTTAACTTTCAAAAAAATTTGAGAAATAACGGCCCGCCGAGAAAAAAAAATTTGCCTAAATTGTCCGGCCCTGTCACTAATATAACAACTCCAAGGCTTTTCCTTTATTTTAATCCAATTCTTTAATTTAGGATCTTGTTGTTCGGTGGCATATTTTATGGAATATTAGGAATAAGTATTTTTTTAATGATTCAACATAATATTTGAAGATTAAAATTGTTTAGAAATAATTATTTATATAATAATATTATATTATCTAATTTAAGATGAAAGCAAAAAAGGCTGCCGAAATAGTGTACAAGGACCATATTTAATAACTGATGATCGCGGTTATACGTGCAATATAGATAAGGTTTCCTATGAAACAAGATGTTGTCACCACTCGTATAATCATTTTAGTTCAAGTAAGATAAAAGAACAGCAAAATAATGATTCAGTCAAATTTAGTTGTAAGAGTTGCGAAGATGATAGGTGTTGTTCGATATATGAATATTGCATATCCTGTTGTTTAAAGATCAACATAAACAAAAATATTTCTGATATAAAATTGCAGGAATACGGGTATAATAAAGATTACCATTATAATCAACAAGTTATCGAGGATAGATTAATATACATTAAAACATTGATAATGTTCACTCCGAGCGCTAATAAAATTGGTACTGAAAATGATGGACACGATCATGCGAATGTGAACAGATTAAATGCTAAGCCAGAAAATCAACTTCAAATAAATTTAACTGCACAAAATATTGTAAACAATCTTGAAAATACTGATGTTTATAATTTGATATGGCTGAATGATATTCAAGACACATTCGAATATTGTGTTTCCAAATGTAGGACATCGTCTCTAGCGCTATCTTATAATCAAAATTCTTATAGAAATAACCGTCAAAAATTTTGTTTCGGAACTTTAAGGCCAAAATTATTGATAGAAAATTCCTATCTACCAGTTTCAATTAATTGAATTAAAAACTTTGAAAATTGGACAATAATTTTTTAAAAAAAAATTTCCATATAGATATTGTCATTAAGTGTAATATATTTTGATAAAGACTTTAAACAATTTATTATAAAGACTTGAACACATGAGTTTTTTTCAAAATTTAAGTTATTAATTGCAATAAATATGTATATTCACAGTTTTAAGATCATTTAATGTATATATTTTAATATAATTGCGATTTAAAATAAGTTTGATTCAATTTTTTTTGACTTTTAAATATTTTGACCTAAATTTAATTCCAAATTTGTGAGCAATTGATTTAACCACAATCTAATTGATGCGTCTTCCTGAATGCATTTGCTAAAAGTAATATCTTTCAGGGGATCTGGCAAACATTGTCGCAAAGCCTCCCTAGCCCTAATATAAAAAAAACAATTCATTTATCAAATAAAATAATCAACATACACCATTGAAGTATGAAGGAAATTAATTTTTGAGGGGTGATTTTTCAATTTAAAGATGAGAACACAAACGACAAAAATTGGGGTTATATCAAACGATGATATTATGCTAATAAAATTATGGGAATTACTCAATAGAAAAAAAAAATATTCAATGAATAATAACCTTGGATTATCCGATAGCCTCAAATAACACCTAATTACGTGCTTTAGTAGTCGCGTGGCTGGTTCTTTAGCTAAGCATAAAACCATTTTACCCTATTATAGAATATTAGTGTTTACAAATTGAAAAGCGTATTTTTCAAATAATGCATGTAAAATGTTATTGTGTCCATATTGGTAAACGTTTTATTTTGAGTTAAAAAAATATATATAATTTGTGCTTTTTTACTTTATTATTTAAAAATACCACACCGATTTACAACGAAGCGTTTTCTATTAAAAAACCAAAACTTTAAGCGTAAAAATTTCGGCTCAATTTGTAAGCACTATTTAGTTTATATCGAATAATTAGATTTAAATTATTATAAGTGTATTAAATTTCCTCTAATAAAAAGTTTAAAGATAATAATTATTAGAGACCGGAACTTAAAAGAATATTAGCCTAAAAAATAGGGAATAGAACTTAAAAATTGCGGTTCTTGGGCTTTTTTAGGTAATAATATCCTAAATTACATAAATTTATAAGCGTAAAATATCTTTATATTTAATTTTAAAAAAATTTTCACTCATATCGTTTACTCATTAAAATTTAAATAATCATTTTAAAACAGGGTTGTCATGTCGGACAATTGACCTGTCAAATACTCAAAAATATTATTGGCGATAAATATTTTGATATAATTAACTAGTATGCATAAAAGTATGTAATCTGGGTTACAATTTATTTAAAAATATATTTGTATCATGAAGGAATCGTTTTAATTATAATTTTATATTAAAATTTAAAATATTTTGTAATATAAAAACAAAAAAATTTTTTTATTACTAAAATAAATAAATATAATAATTTAGCTGTCATAGTTTATTTTTTAATAAATTTAAATTTTATTTAATATTTAGCCGAGTATAAATTATATTAATTCTTATTTATTTTACTTCCACTTGATACATTTGAATTTATAAATTAATTTTTAGTTGTTCTGGTCAGATTTACAAAATAATTTAATCAATTCTGGTAAAAAGTTATATATAATATTATATTTTATATAATGCCAAGTTATTGAAATAATGGTCGATAATTATAAAATAACTAAGATTGATTAACTTAACAATAATCAAAATCTTTCATAGTTAAATTTTAGTATATTAGGGGTTATGGTCAAACCAAAGCAACAAGTTTGGAAACATTTTCAAGAAATAAGCGATTATAAATCAATTAACCCTGTCATAATTAAGGAAAAATTGTATTCAAATTCCAAAATATCAACCTCGACAAAAAATCTCACAAATGTAATTTGTAATACTTCTATCTCTAATGAAGAATTGGGTGAAATTAGTGGGAATTGTTATATTTGAATGTTTATATATATTTTAAAAGGTTACGCTATTTGAATTATATATTATTATAACTTTCTTACATTTAATATTATCTTATGGAGGTCAATGTAATTGCATATTAGTAGAAGTTAAATGACATAATTATAAAAGATTATATATAGGAAACAATTTTATAATAAAGAATCTATTGTTTTGACTATAAAAAATGGCGAAGAAATAAAAAAAAATCTAAGTCGCGCGGTTTTCGGTCAAGTTTAATAATATATAGAATTATAAAAAAAATTTCTGTTTATAAAAAAAAATTATATATATTTAGAAATTATGGATAAAATTATTCTCCAGGACTTTAAAAAGGAAGATTGTTCTATAGGACTACATTATATCAAATATATACTAAATGTGAAAAATATTCCTCAAACTGACGCCACTTTAAAAAAATTATTTATAGCTTATGGAGGAATAAACATTATAACTGATATCAAAAAATTACTCTTTCCTAGGAATATAGAGGAGGTAGGATGGATTGACATTTATAAAATAGCAAAACAACTATATAAAGATGAAATAACTATTTTGGCATCAAGAATTGATTTCATTAGATTAAGTCGCGTGCTACTAAATCAGTAATGAGCTATTTAAAAAATATAAAGGAACTAGCCCGAAGATGCGAATTTAAAGACAATGTAGAACTGAGAATTCGAGATCAATTAATCGCAGGACTAAAGATGTCACAACTGGATAAAGAACTACGATTAAGATATCCAGATACTTAAGACGAAGACCAACCGTTAAGCTTAAACAAAGTGGTAGATTGGCTTTAGCGATGGAACGAGCTGACTTAGAAATAAATAATACTGCTAAAATGGTGTATAAAATCAAAGAGCCGAATAAACATGATAATAATAATCGGATAAATCAACATGATAAAAATAATCGGCAGTATAATAATAATGATAAACGGCACTATTGAAAGGATAATAAAGCATATGTAAAAAGAGAACTAGTGCCCCGGGTATAATAACTACCATACAAATAATAATCGTAATTGGAGAAAACCATGCTATTTCTGTAATCGGTTTCATGCTATTAGAAATTGTCCCGCCTACGGAAAATTGTGCAGCAAATGTAGGAAACCAAACCACTTCGCCGTATGTTGTAAAGCTAAAGAAAAGGTTTACGGAACAAATTACAATAATAAATAAGACGATTCAGATGTCTCAAGAAAAATATACAAATATGGGCAACATCCAACAATTGAGGTATTAATAAACAACCAAAAAATTAAAATGGAATACGATACTGGCTCGGCAGTAACCATTATTAATGAAATAATATGGAATAAAATCGGAAGGCCAAAACTTAGAAGAGCTAAATCACCATGGAAATAATAGAATAAAAATTATGGGTGAAGCTGAGGTAAAAGTACAATTAAATAATAACATAAAATGGCTTCCATTATTAGTCACACAAACAAATGATGCAGCTCTATAGCAAAAAATGTAAAAATCAATATGATCAACAATAGATATAAATACAATGATAATGGTAACGTAAATATTGACAAACTATATAAAGAATTTGCTACGGTGTTTGATAATAAATTAGGATTAATAAAAAATGTCGAACCAGTAAAACTACAATTGGAAGAAAATACAAAACCAATTGCACTGCCAGCTAGAAGAGTACCGTTGCCTTTAAAAGTAGAAATTGAAAATGAACTGAAACGTTTGGAAGAAAATAATATAATTAAGAAAATAGATCTATCAACAACAAGAGTAACCTGGAGTACTCCAATGGTAGTGGTAGGTAAAACTTCAGGTGAACTACGATTATGTGGAGATTTCAAAGTAACATTAAATAAATTTCTATTAAAAGACTATCACATTCTACCAACGTTTGAAGAATTAATAGCAAAAATAGCGAATGGAAATAAATATACAACATTAGATCTCAAAGATGCATACCTACAAATGAGCATTGACGATGAATCGCAAGAATTATTAACAATGGTAACACCAAATGGATACTACCGCTATTTACGATTACCATTTGAGCTATACAGCACCAATAATATTTCAACGATATATGGACGATTTACTGGCTGATTGTAAAGATACAGCAGTTTATTTAGATGATGTTAAAATCACAGGAAAAAATTATGCTGAACATATCGAGAATATAAAACAAGTCCTTAAAAAATTACAAAATGCGGGATTAAAAGTCAAAACAAGCAACATAAATTTTATGAAGGATAAAGTATTATATTTAGGATACATAATAGATCAAAATGGAAAACACCCTAATAAATAAAATAATAGCAATACAAAAATATCCAACGCCAAAAGATAGACATGACATAAAATCATTTTTAGGTATATTAAACTATTATACACGGTTCATACCAAACTTACATGGAATCATAGCCGAATTACATAATAAAACTAGTAAAAATGTTAAATGGAATTGGACTAAAAAAGATGATGCGTTATTTGAAAAAGCAAAAGGAATAGTAACAGAACACAATACTATACAATTTTATAAACCGGATATTGAGTTAATACTAGAAACAGATGCATCAAACCAAGGATTTGGAGCTGATGCTGAAAAGAATTATTCGACAATCGACAAAGAAGCCAAAGCCATAGTAAACGGCGTAGAAAAATTTCATAACTATTTGTATGGACGAAAATTTAAAATACGAACGGACCATAAACCTTTAACAAAAATATATGGGGATAACAGAGATTTTAACGCCTTAACAAACCAAAGATTGTTACGTTGGGCTTATAAATTATCTGCATATGATTATGAAATAATGTATAAGAATGGCGCAAGGAATATAATTGCAGATGCTCTATCGCGAAGCCCAATAGAGAAAAATGAGAAATCTTACTTATGATACATTAACTCTATCAAGAAAAGAACTTAGAGATGAAACTGCTAAAGATCCAATTTTAAGAACAGTAAAAATATTATTAAATGGTACAAATATACAAAATCAAGCACCAGAATTACAAGCTTTTAGAACAAGAATAGATGAAATAGAAAATGATGACGGTATCCTATTTTGGAATGGTCACTTAATAATTCCATATTCACTACAAAAACGAGTTTTACAGATATTACATACAGGTCATCCCGGTATTACATCGATGAAATCCATTACGAGACATTACATATGGTGGGAAAAATTAGATAAAGATGTCGAAAAATTAGTCAACCGCTGTATTGGGTGTCAAAAACATCGCAGAGATATACCAGAAGTTGTCGTATACCCATGGAATCCACCAGCACAACCCTGGGAAAGGGTACATTTAGATTTTGCCGGACCACTAGACGGATTTTATTGGCTGGTAGGAATCGATGCATATTCAAAATGGATAGAGATCGATAGAATCAAAGATACCACAAGTAAAAATTTAATAAATAGATTAGAAAAATGGCTTACACGATATGATGTTCCACGTCAAATTGTCACAGAAAATGGTCCACAATTCATTTCAAATGAATTTTACAACAAAAATAAGAATATACAACACATAAAAACTACACCATACCATCCGAGAAGTAACGGATTAGTTGAAAGATGCATACAAACTATAAAAAAGAACAAACAAATGATGGGTAAAATGCCTTAATGAAGTATTAGTTACATATACAAATTCCGAACATTCCTCAACGGGCCGAATACCTGCTAAACTATTTATGGGGAGAAGACTAAATACTTTATTAGACTGGGTGAAACCATCAATTACTGAAAAATTAGAAACCTCTATAGTAAAACACGACCAGTTAAACAAAGGCATAAGAGATTTTGGAAAAAACGAATTAGTTTGGATAAAAAATCCACTTGAAAAAGGATGGTATGAAGGAAAAATAATAAACCAACAAGCAAAATTCTCGTATAACGTATAAGAAAAAGATAAAATAGTACGAAAACACGCAGATCAACTACGAATAAGGGAAGAACCACAAATTGAACCAAGTCAAAAAGGAAGGCAACCGCGTTATCCAACAAGGGAACGAAAGCCAACAAAAAGATTAATAGATGAACTTGAACTTGGTAATAAAAAGATTGATAGACGATCTTAACTTGGTGGGAAAGAAGATATGTTATATTTGAATGTTTATATATATTTTAAAAGGTTACGCTATTTGAATTATATATTATTATAACTTTCTTACATTTAATATTATCTTATGGAGGTCAATGTAATTGCATATTAGTAGAAGTTAAATGACATAATTATAAAAGCCTATATATAGGAAACAATTTTATTATAAAGAATCTATTGTTTTGACTATAAAAGGAATGATTATCAAATTGACAATATTTTGTCTTGTGACTAAGGAGAATTTGATTCCATTATCTCTGATCAATCTACAAGCAAGGCGATTAAATGTAAATCTCAATCTTATATAACCGGTTTCATAGATAGAATGAATCCTAAAGAACAAAAAGAGCTCGATCGATTGTTTGCAAAGGCGGTATATGCGAACAATTTACCTTTCCACATCTCTGAAAATCCCCACATTCAAGAATTTTTTGAAAAACTATGTCATATTTACACTTTACTCAGGCGAAGGCAGCTGGCTGGATATCTTCACAAAGCATCAGGAGATATGGAGGCGAAAGTTGCAGATATAATAGATAAAGCTCCTTGGCTGGAGTAACATCAGAAACGAGAGTGTTATTAAATTTATGGTGAAGACGCCTGTTTGAGTATTCTCTAAATTTTTAAATAATGAAGAAAATCACCATATGGCAGATTATATTACCCAGGAATTTAAAAATATAATTCATGAATTAAATCCGGTAAAAGAATATTCTTTAGTTACTGATAATGCCGCTAACATGAAAGCAGCCTAGAGAATTCTAAAATCTGAATCTTTTTATAATCATATGCAATGTTATGGTTGTGCAGCGCATACATTGCAGTTATTCTTTCACGATTTTGAACGACTTCAATTAACATATTTCAATCATTAAAAAAATTGTTAAATTCTTCAGGAATAAACATATACCTGCTGCAGTATTTTCCCGTAATAAGAATCAACATGGTATACCATGTACATTGAGTACAATTAGCCAAACAAGATGTGCATCGTCAATAAAATGTATGGAGCAAATATAAATAGGTAAGTCAGCTTGAAAGCATCAGTTGTTAAAGAAGCTGTATGTGATATTTGTCCAATTACCAATATTAAGTGAAGAAATATTTTGGATGAAAAATTTAAAATTTTTAGATATACTCTAACCTTTAGTTATCCATTGTTGAAAGTGCAAGGAGATAAATGTACTCTGACTCACGTAAACGAGATGCTTAATTTGGAAAATCACATAATACAATCATGTATATTTTCTCCATCTGAAGAAAAAAAAATTAAAGTTATGTTTGAAAAGAGAAAAAATGATTTAAATACATGTGCTCACAATGCTGCTTAATTATTGGATCCCCAATATCAAGGGGAGCATCTTAATAGTACTGAATTTGATGAAGCATGTGATATAATATAAGAATTGGGTATTTTACAAGGTGGTGATAATCAAAATATTTTAAGTGATATAATAAATTTCAGAAATAAAAGCGGCATATTTCATAGCCAAAATATGTGGAAAGTGGTAACTTCCATAATCAGATTTCAGCCTCAAGTTGGTGGAATGCACTTTGCCCACCTTGCCCATTAAGAGAAGTGGCTAATATTTTACTAACATTTCCTAGTTCGACTTCTTCTTCAGAAAAAAATTGGTCAGTTTGGGGCAATATTCATAAGAAAAACAGAAATCGATTGAAGACTTCTACAATAGGAAAATTGGCAAGAGTATATCATAACTTAAAATTGATTAAAAATATTAAAGAAAATAATGATATTGAATATGAATCGGAACAAGACTCTGCCTAGGAGGCGAAACATTAACTATGGAATAAATTAAAAAAATATTATATAGATTCATTATAATATTATATATATACAAAATAAAGTTAAGATTGGCGTAAAAAACATTTATTTGAATTTGAACGATCAAATATCGTTCATTTGTTCGAATCGTATTTGACTAATCAAATGCACAACCCTATTTTAAAATGCTCGTTTTATTTTGTGGGGATATTGTATACTTTTGAAAAAAAAAATTTCAATAAAAAAAAATGAAATGTCACATATCCATGTTCCTTTTCAATTATATTAAGATAAATCTAGAACATATACGGTTCTAGAATAGAAACCAAAAAATTAAGAATCTAAAAGCATTAAAGTTCTGATTTATATCACGTTGAAACTAAAAAATTTTTATAAAAAAATTTTTTGTAGATCTAATTTTAAAATTATATAATTTACCAATATCATAGCAACGTGAGAAAATCGTTCGTATGTTTGGCATATATAAGATAGTCCAGTTTCATCTAATAAAATTTTTTCTAATATAAATGTAGCGACCTGTAAAGGTAGAAAGATTTAAATTATGTTTAAAAGGGTATATTAAAAAATATATATTTACGGTTTTAGACAATTCTGTTCCATTTTCCATTATTCGTAAACATAAAGGTATTATTTCAGTTGACAATAAAAAGCTTATGACCTCTTGATCGTCAGTCTTTGAAATTATATATTTAAAAAAAATATACACACAATTATCGAAATTTAATAATAATGAATAACGTTTTAAGTTCCATTTTTATTTTTTTTAAATAAATTCTACTCACATTCAGGGTCCACAAAGGCTGCATTCACATTAGAGAATGCATTGGTATGAGTGCAAAAAATATAAAAAGTGAGAGTTAAATCAAAGTATTCATATTTTATATCCGACTTCAAATCATTTTCTTATCTTCGCTCCAATTTTCAAACCGGTATAAATTAAGATTGAACTTGTTCAAAATTCAGATAAAATTCAAACCTTATATTTGATAAAAGAAACTTATATTACCCTGCATTCGCATTTAGCAGAAATTCGTGGCGAAATATACGAAAATAGAGCATATTTCGAATACTTTGCCGCAAATTCGCGCTAACTGTAAATGCATGGTTAGACTCTAATCCAGCTGAATTATGTTTGGCATATGATATTTTAATTACTTTTAAAAATTATAATTATATATTTAAAATTTATTAATAATCAGTTTTTTGATCCTTATTTGCCGATTCCATGATTTGTATAAGGTGCATGTATAAATGATATTGTCTATAGTGTTTCGATTTCGATATTACTATGTTTTCATGATTGATTATCTCGTTCCGACATCGCTGTGAATATTTTTGCATTGCGATGTCAATGTGAATGCAGCCGGCCTTATCTAATAGTAAATGCGATTTATAGTGCAATTTAATATTTTTGTAAATTATGCATCGCTTGAGCGATATCGCGCCTATAAATGAGACCTAAGATGGTGGATGCGAATCTATTGCATCATTGAAATTTCAGAGAACCAATATTTTTCTTCAACAAAATCTTTTGATCAGATTCTAGTTAAAAAAAACCATATTTTGACTCATTTGATGCATAATTCAGTTCACCATGAATATAATTATTTTTTTAAATCTAAAATGGCATTCAATCATTCATTACTCAAATAATTAAATTGTGTTAAATTGAATAGTGATCATTTTTTAATATATAAGTAAGTAAATATTATACTTTAACTAAAGCACCAATAACTCCTAAACTTGTCAACCTCAAGCATTCAAATGGACGATTCTGACTATTGGTATTCAAAAAACTGTACAAATACAAAGGAATATTTGCTAAATGTTTTTTTAAAATAAAATTGAGAATAAATTTATTTAAAAGCAATTTATAAATAATGGTATTATATATAAAAATATAAATAAGAAGCAGATTTAATAAAATATAAGGCATTTCGTCGGTTGATTAATAAAGTGTTCTATGTCCACTTTTATTTAAAATCAAAATTGATTTTTTTCCCAATAAATCAGTTCGTCAGTACTATCAAGTTATACATCAACTAGATATAAAATTCCCAAGAAAATTCGTTCAGGGGAAATTTTCCCGGGAAAAGGAAATTATTGAAAATTAAAAATAACCCCCAAATAAACTTTAAACCTTTAAAAATTTTTATTGAATAATTTTATTAAATTTAAAGAACTAAAGGAAATAAAATAATTAAAAAATAAAGACAAAAATACATAGTAAACATTTTATTCTCTTATTGAATAACTTTATTAATTCAAGAAGCATGTATTATAAATTATTTTTAAAATTCATGGGATGCAAATGAAATATCATTGGCATCTTCATGGGAGATCGATATTAATTTTTGGATTCTCTCATTCTATTTTCGATTTCTTGTTTTAGAATGAACTTTTTCAAATCTGGCAAACTCTTTTCGATGAAACACTTGAGGGTGGTATCGAAAGACATCTTACTGTTGCTTGAGAAAGGGGTTAATTGCACAACCCTTTCCCACTCATGAGTGATTTGGTATGAATTGAGCTCTCCTATATGCTCGCTCCTTTATAGAAACCTTGTTTTAAACAATATTCTGCTAAATTACCATCACTTTTCCAATATCGCAATTAATTTGGCCAGAAATAATATTTATTAAGTTTAAAGATCCTGTTAATTCGCGGTCTGATAATTTTACACCATAATATCTACAATCCAGAAATGTTCATGATGATATTCTCGGCAACAAAATTTCATTCGTTTATTAACACGTGTAATCTTAACAATTTTCAAATCATTTTCATTAAAAATAAAATTGAATAATTCAGTTTATCTTTTATATCCAAAAATATTTCTGGTACATCAGATAATATCGCTGTATCCGATTCTACAATTAAAAATTTGTTATAAATAAATTACAAAAAAATCAATATCGACTAAACTTTAACTAGTATCCTCCTTTGTTCAATATAATATGCCTTTAATTTCTCGCAAAATTTCCTTATTTTTCAAAATACTTTACAATATAAACCTTCCCATCTTGTCGGACTAGGAATTTTTAAGGAAGATTTATATCTAGAGATTTAAAGGTAAATTTCCTGGGAAATAACGATCACTTTCCAGAATTTTCCCTTAATATAAATATATTTTATTGCATTATATCATAAATTTTAAATTAATTTTTATTTTTTTCGTGAGTTTTTAAGCTTAATTTTTTAGTGCAACTCTCCAAATCTCAACTATATAATTTTAAAAATAACAAAAGTAAAATGTTAAAACATTATATTCTCATATATTCATAATATTAATATGATATATTATAGAATAATTAATGATATATTTAGATTTGATATATAAGGATAAATAAATATATTTTTTCATACTACTATATAACTGGTCATTTTTTGCGCCAACAAGACCCAAACCCGGGGCTTGTAGATTCAATTATTTTTTTAAGTCTCCCATAAGATAATTAATATTATTATTGCATTATTTTCATGGACGACTCAGGGCTAGTCGTATCAATCACAAATTTGATATAATATATTTATTTAATAATATAAAATAAGTATTTATTGGTTACTACCATATATTTAAATCAAATCTATATTATAGAATTAGGAAAAAATAAAAAAATTTATTAAAAAATTTACACATTATTTATAATTCAAATAATATCATATTTTGTTAATTTTATATGAATTATTTTTATGTAAATGTGTAAAATTTTTATATTTTTTTCTAATTCTATAATATAGATTTGATTTAAATATATGGTAGTAACCAATAAATACTTATTTTATATTATTAAATAAATGCAAATTTGATTGATACGACTAGCCCTGAGTCTACTAGCCCCTAATTACTAATATAATACCTTCTAAAAATATATTTAAAGATGATATATGATTAAGAGACTTCCTGAAATGCGAAAAGAGGGGTTTAAATTTAATATGTAAATTTTATCATTTATAAACTCTTCATATTTTAATGCATTAATATTGTGGTGTAAAAACATTTTTATTTTTACCTAAAAAACACATTTTATCATAAAAAATTTTAATTCGAGGGGTATAAACTATTTTTCGCCTCAAATATACATATTATACAATGCTATTACATAATTAAATTTGAATGTTTAAAATGTCTGTTTTTTAAATAAAATCCGCTGAACCGACCTCTTGCGCCGACTAGCCCTGGTCTCCTCTACTTTAAAAAAAATAGCGATAGCTCGCTACTAATTTAGAAAGTGGCGAAGTAGCGCAATTTTATAAAATCTGCAAAATAATTTAAAAGTGACTATTGAAATTGATATGATATTGAAGATAATTTTTGTACAGATCATATCGACAAAATTATTTTTCTGAAAAATGATAATATGGAATTTGCTTTTCCTAATTCGCAAAATATTTTCATTTCGATAAAAAAAATTAACAGTGTATAAATTTCGCTGTATGTGCCGGAAGTTTTATCATCAAACAAGGCATGTAGCTTCAACCTTAGGAAACATTTAAAAGTAATATATTAAACAAATATAATATCAACGCAGCCAAATCCTTCATCTTTGAAATAAATTTTGAATCAAAATTGAGATGAGTTTATGTGAATTAATTTTTTGGCTCAGTTCAAACATGGTATGTTTTTGGTTCAATAGATAAAAGGTTAAAGGATGGTGGCCTGACCAGTCATCAAACATTTTCATTCTAATACTTTTATAGTTTAAACTGACTCTAGCCAGATCAAAAACACCACCAGTGTTGTTAAAATAGCGAGCTACTTTTTTCAGTAGCGGTAGCTTTAGCTTGCTACTTTTTTTTAGAAAATAGCGATAGCGGTAGCTCGCTACTAATTTATTTCAATTTTACATAATAAATACATCTAAAAATTATTAAAATATATTTTTTATTAAATCTAAAACTATAATCCTTTTATTTAATTTAATTGTGAAATTTATATTTAAAAATATACATTATAAATCTAGTTATTAAAAATGTGTGAGATTGTTTAAGATAGTGAAATTTCTTTAGAAAATGAGAAATATATAGATTATTTTCCCAAAATTCAAAAAATACTTTAATCTTGAAGAAAAAATTACTACTGGATATCGGTTTGGATGCAAGAAAATTATGCCAGCCACTGGTAGAGTCTATGCTAAAAGGCATTGAGAAAAGGTCAAAATATTTTTATTTTCTATTGTACAATTATATAAAATGAATGATTTATTGCTTGATTAGCCATAATTTAAATTGGCTTAATTTACAACACAATCTATAATATTAATATAAATTCAAAATTAATATATTATTAATTACCTTGTGTATAATAATTATATTTTTAAAATCTTTATTTACCATAATTTAATGCTATTTTAATTTTTTATAAATGAATCTAAATTTCAGATAAATTTAAATTTTGAAAATTAAAAAGGTATTCTTCTTATTTTATAATAAATACAATCGCTTTATATAAGTTAGATATCCAGATCTGTATGATGATGATAATAGCTGCTATCGTTCATCCTAGTTTCAAGTTAAATTGGCCATACATTAATTTGACTGAATCTAAAGGGCAACTTGATAGGCTGATGGTAACGTTAAAAAATGTCATGCCTAACCACGATACTAATACTAGAGCAAGATCGAAACCGCGGCTTTCCATAGACGATTTTTTTGAAATAATAATAATAATAATAATACTGAACCTCTAGATGCTTTTTTTAAATCTAAAAATACTCATTTAAATATCTTTGATGATTTTTTTCATATAAAAGTATTTATTAAATTTAATACTGCGTTGCCCTCAAGTGCTAGTGCTGAACAATTATTTAGTATGGCAAAGTTTATACTTTCTGATCGTCGAGTACAAAATGTTATTATTAAAGTGCAATATTAAATAAATTATATATATATATATTTAACAAATTATAGTCATGTTTTTATACCAAGTGGAAATAAAGTGATGTAAAAAATATTTTAAAAAAAAATCAAAATAGCGTAAAAAGTAGCTTTAGCTACTTTTTTTTTAAAGTAGATAATAGCGCGCTACTCATTTGAAAACGATAGCGGTAGCGCGCTACTTTTAAAAGTAGCGTTTAACAACACTGATACCACCCACTATTAGATAATTTTTTTGAAATTGAAATACAATAAAAAATAAATTATATTTAAATTTTTAGTCGTATTTTTTATTTGTGGAAATGTAGATACGTGAAAAATATAATTCTAAAGTAACCAATAGTGTGCTGCTTTTTTGAAAAATAGTGGAAGCTATAGCGCATTAATTTATAAGTAGTGTTTAATAACATTGTTCAAGATATGGCTAAGAAAGGGTATATCTGAAAATTCAAAAATTGTCAATTAACATAATTTCCCAAATCTACAAAGATGTCTCAGCATATTAAGAAATAACAAAGGTAAATAAACAGTTTAGTTGATAATAATAATTGCACTGATGAGGCTATTGAATACCAGTTTCCAGTATTCTTAATAAAATAATATCCCAAACAAACATAAATAAAACTACTGTAAATATTTTTAAAAAAATAGCAATCATTTTAATAATTTATTAGGCGCATATTAAAAGTTTTGTTGACACTGTAACTCATCAAAATCAAACACAAATAGATAGTGCTTTGGCAGTAGCAATTTTTATGTCAAATTGTTCCTTCAAATTATTAGAAAATAACTATTTGATCAACATCAAGATACACAATTAGCAAAACATTATTAGATTTTGATTTTTTAATTTTCCCCTTCTTTTTTAATTTTCCCTTTCTTTTCTAATTTCCCCCTTCTTTTCTAATTTTCCCGGTGAAATTTCAGCCGGAACCAATTTTCTA